CCTTTACTACGTGGAGACAGCAGTCCTAATAGCTGTCTCATGTGGTCTTTGGTACATGGGAGTTGCTTAATAAGCAGGAAGGATTTTTACCTTTCTGAGCCAGCCTAGCCATGCAGACACATACAGAGTAATTATTAAGACAACAAAATACGTACATTAGTTGGCATTTGTCTCAAACTTTGGAAATGCATGGCAGAGGGCCCTGGTGTTCTATCAGGAAAATTCTGGAGGGCACCCGTTGTGGTTTTCACTTTGCCGTAGGTGAGGGGTGGCCAGGGAGGAGGGGAGACAGTGCCTGGTCACAGCTGATGGTCTGATCAGGCGCAAATTGGTCAACAGTGTTAGTAAAAGTCTCTGAAGCTGAGCTGGGAGCCTGCACGGTACCTGATGCTGTTAAACTCCTAGCACCAGGGTGAGAATTACACAGATGGGTAAACGTGAGTGATTGGAGACATTTTTCCTCTGTGAACTTGCTACTCCTTTGACAATAAAAGCATTTCAAAACCTTTACAAGAATAAAAAAATGAAAGTAGTAGAATGGATGTTTTTAATTTTGTATTTTAAGTAAGTTCATTAACATAGTTCATGTCCTTGGCATACATTTGAACACCTACTATGGGCTAGCCCTTCTGAGCAAAGCTGATTTGCAAATATAAATATAAAGTATTCACAATATCTGCCTTTTCAAAGCTCACTTCCTAATTTGGCAGAGGACCAAATAAACATCTAAGTGCAATGCAAGGTAATAATTGTAACATAGGAGTCACAGTCCGAGGGCTTGTAGGAGCTCAGATAATCCAAGTGTCCACCAGCGATGAATGAGTAAATAAAATGTAACAGATGAAAGCAAGAGACTATTACTCAGCCTTTGAAAAAATGAGAAGCTCTTACATGATACCACATGGATGAACACGGAAGACGTTATGCTAACTGAAGTGAACCAGTGCAAAAGGTCAACTATTGTATGGCTCCCTTTGACGTACTTAGAAAGTCAAATTCAGAGCTGGAAAGTAGAGCAGTGGTTACGAGGGGCTCTGAGGAGGAAAGAATGGCGAATTTATAATTTAGGGGGTACAGAGCTTCTGTTTGGGATGATGAGAAAGTTCTGGAACTAGATGGTGGTGGTGATGGTGGCAAAATATTGTGAATGTCCTTAATGTCATTAAATTGGACACTTAAAATGGTTAAAACAGTCAATTTTAAGTTATGTCTAGCTTATCGCAACAAAAAAAATTTAAAACTGTCAACAAGCACATATCCTCCTGGCAAAATGAGGTTCTTAAATTTCCTATTGAAGCATAAAATAATTCCACCAGTTATTTTGTTTGGAAACGACCTCACTTAAGCCTCCGGGGAGCTACCTTCATCTGGGTCATCTGGGTCTGGTGGGTGCATCACCCATGCTCCCGGCACTTGCAAGAGGCACTTTGGGAAGTGTTCTTCCCATCTTTCCAAGGAGCCTATAGATATTACAAGTATGTAGGTGCCCGCGTGCCCAGCATATTGACATTTCTGGCAGCTGTGTCAGCTGTTTGTAAGACAGGCTTATTACAAATTCTTTCTCAGGATCTTGAAGTCTAGGAGCAAAAAAAAAAAAAGAAAGAAAAGAAAAGAAAATTCAGATATTTTGTTTTTTCTCCAAACCCAATGAGGGTGAACCTTGGCTACTTAGAGAATCCAAAGTTGAGCATTGAGATACACAATGTAGTTTAAGCACCACGTTGCCCTACGAAGCCCTATGGTGTTATCTTACAACATGTGAAGAAGAAAAATACTTTATTCTTTGCCTATTACTTCAAGAATGAAATGACCCCGGTGGCCTTCAGTGAATGGTATCTTGTCCAAACACCCTGTATCGGTGCACTTCTAAGGGGTTCTGAGTGATTTCCTGCTTCCTCAGAAAACCAGGGCAGGACCTACTTTACATAATACTGTTTCAATTCAAATGCATAGGAATGAAAAATAATGATTTCCCATGTGCAGAGTCAGCAGCCCTGATGTACAGTTTGCTCCCTGCGTGACATGGATTTGTGTGTGATTGAAAAAAGAGTATCTAAGTGGGTTCTAATCTTTCACAACCCAGGAGATGGCCCTTTCTGCACTGACCGCTTGTACGGGACAAAATCGGCGTCCTTCCTCCCATCCTCCTGGTCGCCCTTTCGCTCTAGCCGTCGCGCCAGCAACCGGCCTTGGGCAGGGGGAACCCGGCAGCACATCCCACCTGCAGCAGCGTCTCTCTTGCGTGCGGCTCCGCAGCACGAGGTGCCCGCAGGGACCAGCCCGGCGCGCACACTGGTGTCCCCTGAACGCGCCCGGGGGCTGATGCCGCAGGGGCCACCCCCGACCGCGGGAGGTGGGAGCTGGTGCGCAAACGCTTCCCCCACCTCCAGGGCTCAGTCTCCACTGCTCATTAGGAGGCTCTGGTGCGGACCAAGCCCCTCGTTGCTCATGAGAGAGATGCCTTCAGGATGGATCGTTACTGACTTTTCCTCCTTCCCGGGTTCCCTCTCCCTATATTCCTCGCTCCTGTTTTCTAGGCACACTCTTCCCATCATTAGAAAATTCTGGGAACCAATTAAGGCAATAAGCTAAGAAAATATGTAACTCATGTAAGATCCTCAAGAAACTCGTGGAGAAGTTCTCTAGTCCATCCCTTACATCACAGCTAAGTCACTGACCAAAGAACCATTGTAGGGCGGGAAAAAACATCTGACAAATGGAATTCTAAAATCTTTAGTCATTCCATTAGGTATTCAGATCTTCACTTCATATACATATTCCTGAATAGGAGACAGGGGGTACAGAGGCCTGGATGTTGGGTATAAGCTCCAGAGTCTGTAATTGCATGAGCTTAACGGATTTGCTCTTTTCAGTAATGCTAGTTCAGTTTCAGAAGTTCAGTGCCAATTTAGTGCTTACATTTTATCTCCTTCAAGTGTACGTGATAAGTAGATTTGATAAATTACTCTCCTTGTTGAACATGCCATAAATTCAGTATCAATTTGTGATACTGATTGACATTCTTTAAGCACAAATTAAATTTTAAAAAAGAGGGAAGGAAACATGTCTTAAAACATCTTTTTTAAAACTTGAAACAATTCAGGCATACCAAAAAAAGAAAAAAAGTCACAGAAAATAAATTCTATGACATACCAGCTACCAGCTAGACAAGACAGTTAATACTCTATCTTATTTGCTTTGAACTCATTATTTTAGTAAACAAGAATGCTAATTTTTAATAAAGAAAATATCTTGGCACAGCCAAAGCCTCACCCAATGTCTGTCTCCTTCCTCTTCTCTCCATCCACAGGGATAACTCAGTTCAGAAAATAGTATAATCCATCTCACATGCTTTGTACTTCTGTACAAATATGCTCCCGTGAACAATAGATTAGCCCCCTGCATTCTCATGGTCCTTACTGTTGAGAAGTCTAGTTGCAGTTCTTGGTGAAAACAAACAAGCAAACAAAAAAACCTGTCTCCGCTCTCTGACTCTGTTTTCAGATTTTCTCTTTGCCTTGGGTGTTCTACAGTTTCACGACAATGTAACAGTATAACCAGGTATTTAAGAAGAAATGTATGAGGCCTGAGACTCATTGTGATTTATAAAGCTGAGCATCCATGTCTAAACTCACTTCTGGAAAAAGGGGCCTCTGGTTTCTTCTCAAACACTGTCTCTCTCCCAGGCCAGGCCCCCGCTCCCGGAGGCGGTCCCGCGACCATCGCGGTCCTGACTCCGCGCCTGGCTCCCGGGGTCGTGGCTCGGGGGTCGGCTCGGCGGCGCCCCTCCGCCGCGCTGCTTTGGAGAGCGAGGCAGCTGGAGGGGGCGGACAGCGCCCTGCGGCGCCACACCTGGGTAAACACCTAAGTGTGTTATCGAAAGAGACACCCTTCTGGCGATAAAAGGGGGGACTACTAAGAAGGTGCCAGGGCCAGCCTGGCATCGGGTGCGGGAGATGAGCCAGGTGAACTGCCCTGGGCTCGAACCCCGGCTCTGCTTGGACCAGCTGCGCCCGCTGGGTGGTTAGGCGGCCGTGGTCTCGGCCGGCGGCCCGGAACGCGGAGTCTGCAGAAGCGGCCGCCGCCGCCGTGGGCCTGGAGTGTCTCAGCCGCTCCAGGTCTTCGCGGAGCTCGCGGCCAGACCACTGGCCAGGGCCTGGCTGTTCTCCATCCTTCCCGTCCTTCTGCGCGTTCCAGGGCCAGGCTGGGCGGGCGTGGCGCTGCCTCGCCGGGGTCGCACATCCGCGGCCTCAGGGAGCCCTCCTGGCCCGCAGCGAGGTCGCCAGTGCTCGCCTCCCCCGGCACCCGCGAAGGCCACGGCTCTTTCCCGCACCCCTCGCTCTCGGTGAGAACTGCTAGCAAAACGCGCCGGGACTCCCCGGGGGTCGCTAGACACAGGGACCGCGCAGCCGCGGCTGTGAGGTATCTTTCTTAAGAAATATACAAAATTCCCAGGGCCGACAGGCCAACACATTGTATCTCTCTCCAGAAGAGGAGACACTTGGTACTACTGTCAGATTCCCCGTCTAAGCCATGGGCTCCAGTAAGCTCCGATTCTGCTTTTCTCTGAACTTTGGGTTTGCTTCCAAAACTGGCTAGACACAGAATGTCCCATTCAGGCCACAGGCCACTTAGGCGCTGCGGCAGGCGCGGTGGGAACTGCCGCGGCCCCTCCTCCGGAAAAACAGAACGAAAACCCAAGGAGTCCCCGAGGCGGCCAGCCAAACGTCACATCTGCTGTGGCGGACAAGGTCTGCTCGGGGAGCGTGTGCTTAGAAATGTCAAGAGAAAACAGGGCCGCCTCCACCGCCTCTCACCCCGTGGCTGTTCTCACATATTAATTAGAGCTGAAGCATCTTTCCTTTGCTAGGCTTTGAAAAAAAATGGTGTATAAATGGTAATCTGTCAAAGTGATGAAGTATTAGCAATCCAGAGGGTAGAAGAAACAAAATATACAATCATTGTATAAAGTTCCAGAAACACTTTATTTAAAAATGGAGTTGTAAATGCATAACAAAATAACATAAGTAATAAATGTAACAAAAATAAATAAGGAGAATAATGTATTCATTAAAAAATAAAAATAACATAGTAAAAGGCCAAATGTTTAAACAAACCTGTGTAAACACTTAAACAGTAACATAAGGAGACAGATGCTAATATTGTCCTAAACAACTCCTCACCTTCTACCTCCACGGCAATATAATCAGTACCCAAACATTCAATAAAAGAAGGAACAATGGTGATTATGTTGTTTGTTTCTTCAAATGGATTGACCCTGTTTTAATGTTTCATTTATTCCTTCAAAGCAGTTGTATCTTTCCATTCATGTTCTTTAAAACATTTTTTGCAGTCTTCCTTTATTAGAACGGGGTATTTAGCTACACCAGGAGAATAGTTTGTTTACCCTTTTAAAAAAAAAGTTTGAAGAAAAATATGAGATCCATTACACAACAGACTTTTGTTTTTACATCTCTACAAAGGGGTATTTTTTGCTTCTCTTTTTCCTTTTTTCTTTTTGCATCTTTATTAACTGGCCCAACAGCACAGGATTTGTGTAAAATCCTGTAAAGTTCTGCAGTGTGTAGTTAGTTTCTTAACACAAATGTAGCACAGGATTATTGCTGATATATTAAAGACCATTTCATAAATTTGCAAAGGTCGCAGTTTTAACCTTTGTAGACTCGTGGGGTCAAGGGGAAACTCCAAGTCTACTAATAACATTTAACTGAATTAAGATTCACCCAAATTACAGTGTTCTGGAAACACAGAGATAATTGCTTTCTTTTAAAACTTATCCAAATGTGACCTTACGGGAAAGAGAAAAAAAACGAGTTTATAGAAGATACTTTTCATAGGCTTTCCGTTTAGTAACACAGGCCCAAGGCCTCTGTCGCTTGTTGTCTTGCAGAGTCCTTATAAATGGTAAGAAAGACTGAGACAGAATTCACTACTGGGTCCTACAGGGAAACACACAGAAGCAAATCACTCTGCTTGGGAGTGAAACTATCAACTAAGCTTATGACTACTGGTTCTCCAAGTGTCCTAACGAAGAAAATTTTAACTTCATGATCGTTTCAGGGAATTTTTTTTCCAACTGTCACATAAAAACTTGGTAACACAGGACCAATATACGTGTTCTCAGTTTTAAAAATATACTCCACCTTAAGTGTCTAGTTTCATCTTTCTAGTTATCATTGGCCCTAAAATGAGAGACAAAAATCTTACTTCCATAAAAAACCAAAATTGAAAAAAGTGCCAAATTCATCTTTTTTTGAAAGTGGAGTAAAATGCTGTGGGGTTAAAACAAATACAGTATTATCAGCCTCCTATGTACAAAAAAGGCGGTTAGTCCTTATTGATCTATAGATATGTCCACCTACCACTCCCAGGAAATCTTAGTGCAAACATAATAGTTCATCTCCGTAAACCCCAAGGCAATTCACGCAGCAACAAAATTATATAAATCACATGTATGTTGCAAAATTTTAGAACATAAGAACGACTGTTTTAAAAGGTCAGTTTGACTGAGGAGAGTTAAATGTCACTGTATCCAATGCTGATGAGTACTAATATAAATCCTATTATTGAGAAGTAAATATAAGTGTTTAACAAATCCTGTACAGGTGAAGAGAAAGTCCATTTCAGGGAGCAGCTTGGCACAGGAGACACGGGGTCAGAAATGTTGGGTATTTAGTTTGCCTGTAGGTCACAGCATGGCTTAAAAAACAGAAACAACAACAACAAAAAATCTATGAAGGGAAAGGATACAATTATATTCAATTTGAAAGTCATAAAACCAAAAAGGCGAAATCGCCACAATCCGCTTTTTTTCCTACATGTGCACCAAGTGGTTATCTAAGTGGTTGGAAAAGATGACTATGATACCACGTTATAAGGGCAAAAAATAAATAAATAAAATTAAAAAGCCAGAGATAACAAGATTGTACTTGACCAAGCTGTCTTGTTTTGTGCAAGTCAACACTATGCTGCTTCCAATATTCCTAGTCATTCCACAGGTAATGATTTTCTAACAACCAAGAGAAAGTCACTCAGGTACTGTGACATCTTCCTCTTCCCCGTCAGGGTTGAACCTATTGAAATGGATGCTGAAGTCAGCCTCGGACTCCACATTCTCAAATTCCGCCGACACCGAGATAGCACCGGGATGAAGAACCCGAGCTTCCGGTTGGCAGAGAGACGGCGTCTGGCCCGGGCTGCTGTGGTTATTCACAGGACTGGACTTCTGTTTTGGTGGCGATGGCAAGAGAGCACTGGGAAATCCCATGTTGTTCAGAGCCTCCAAAGTTCCATCTGGGTCAATCATAGCATTGATCACTGAAGCAAAAACAAAAGAGACAACTGTCGATGGAGTCAAGTTTGGATATGAACGTCGCTATGACGTGGATAACATTTTGATGACGGAAGCTTTCATTTGATGCTTAATTTGGGCTAATCCTTCCTACACTGTTTTTAAACCCCGTTTTCAATAATTTGGGGGCTGTTCTAGAGGCTACACAGAACTCACTGCTCTCTCTGGTGCGTTGAGTAGCTCACTTAAGGGCATTTCAGAGCCTGGAAGACTGGGATGTGGAGATATGGAATTCAGAAAAGATCTTTTTAAAATTTGCTTTCCTTTTTTTAAAAGAGGGTAAGTGGAAATACTCGTTATAATTTTAATAAACACTCCCAGCAGTGTTAATCACCCTGGTGCCTGGGGATTAGTTGTTAAGGATGAGGTTCCGAGTAACTTGAAGGCCAGGGAAACTAAACTACATAAGGCCACTCCGAATGCTATTGCAGCATGCTATCACTCATCCTGGTGACAGTGCCAGGACACTGGCCAGGTGCAAGTGTGTATGCACGTGCCACCGAGCCATGAGGGTCCCCCCCGTAGTCTAGAGGCTAATATTCCACGGCAGCCCTGGCAGGCCAAGCAGACCTTACTACCTCCATGGGAGGGGCCCGCTGAAACCAGTTTTCAATCCAAAAGATCTTTGAGTGGACGAGGAAAACTCTGAGGCAGTGCTTTGCAACTTGGCATTGGGTAGAGAGGAGAGTTGAGAGGAGGAAGCACCATAGACTTAGGAATCATTTAAGAGGTCCTTTAGGTACACCCTCGTTCTATCAGCTAACAAAGCCACTGTTACTCATGGGGTACATCCAAACCCTCAGAGATGTGGAGGCTGACTCAAGATTGAAAATCACTCAGGTAGGACTAACATATCACGTCTATTATAATTCAAGCAACAAAAACTGAGTAAAATTAGCAGTTTATTCTGGAATCGGCTTGTTGTACAGCGGGGACTTTTGGGTCAAGACACACACAGGCACTGATGTCTGACTAAGACCTGACGCGACCGAGGCAACATCCCTGTCAAAGTTCGGGAGGCAAACTGGGTCTCTCTCCTTCTCTCTCCTCTAGTCCCTGTGGCCAAAGTAATAGACTCATTTCTTGTTTTTCAGCCACACTATTATTATTTGTGTTACTAGTTCATTTGGGTTATACCACAGCTAATTTAAGAATTGTCAAGACAAATAAATAATGCTATTTCAATAAGCATTTTCAGCTGCATACACATACTTTTAATATATTATTCCTACATATTTTTCACATATTAATATTTATATATTTAATAGATAATACACATAAGACTGTAAATTATAACATCTAGCAACATGCTCAAGATTTCCCTTTATTTCCTTTTAAATTATTTATATTAGGCCTTCAACTTTCTTTTTATTAGTAATTTTGATATATACAACTATATTTTATCTGTGTCATTACATTTAATCAAGTAATGTTCTAATAATAAAAATAGTCTAAGAAATACCACTTAGCATGCACTGTCCTAAGTTGTTAGCACTTCTTACTTAATTCAGTAGTAAGTTTACCTTGTAGCTGTTTTTCAACTCTTTTTAGCTCTTGTAAGATGGAAGAAATCTCCTATAGGGAAAGCAATGACAAAAATTATCTGACTTTATAAAAAATGTTTTTATTTGATAGGCAACGACTCTCAGACTCATCCTATTTGAAATACGTAACATTATCTACATGGTACTACATTTGTAGCAATAAGATGTGAAATGGTTAGGGTATCCAGTAAACAAGGTTCAAGTTTTAAAATCTTTAAATTAATGTTAAAATCATATTACTTTTTTCAATGAGATAACGATAGAAGATGAAAAGTTCAAAATAATACTACTATTAGGAAAAGGTTTTGAAAAACTTGTATTGATCAGCCTTGCAACAACTTTGCAGAAGTGCCTAAGGGTTTGATTTTCTTTGGATAACGGTGTAAGTTTCCAACCTCAGTTTCAGAATGACTCTGATCAATGAAAATCTGTGCAAATTTTGAGGAGGAGACAAGCAATTTATTAAGCAGATTGAAATGACTCATGTCAACTTACATTTGAGTTTGGCTCTTATTTCAAAATTGCCTGCTTCTAATGTATAATTATCATATGGACAAGAGTCCATAATAGTAAGAAGAAGAAACATAAAAGGTTTCTCCTTCATACCCTCACAACTCTGAAGCAATCAGTATTTTAAACTCCTGTGAGAGACTGGTTAAGGCATAACATTTCCCAAATACTGCATTTATATCTTCCTTTAAAAATGTAAATCAACAAACAGCTCAAAAATAAGCATGTCATTCCCTTAAAATAAAACACTGCTACTGAGATATTTTACTAGTCAAGGAATATTACCATACCATGCTTGAAGTTTTCACAATAGGAACTTCACTTTCAGTTCTTAACTTGCTTTCTATTTCATCCCAATTCCGGTCTTTATCTTTAAATAATATTCTGTAAATCAAAAAACAGAAGCATTTTAATTTATAAAGCTATTACATTTTTAATAATACAAAAACAATGTATCTTTTCAAAACTCAACAAGGATAAAGAAACCACTAAATATTATGTAACTGAGCCTGTATTACCAGCAAACTCATCTACGTGAGAGATCTGTATTAAAAAACTAGCTGAGTGGTTATGAATATATACATAACATCTTGTGCATTTATCTCATTCTTTATTAAAAAACAAATAAGAAACAAATGTAGATGATGATATAACACCTAAATTTTTATCTGGTATTTGTAATTAACCACCAGCTATAATGAAAACACAACTTTGTTCAGATAGAACATATGCAGTGTAAACATAAGATGAAATTAGGATAAAAATAGGTTGAATTAGGCATGAATAATTGTATCTCTTAAGACTCTTTGTATAGGAAAAGGAATCTTTGAGTAAAGTGTGAATGTCATTACAAAGGTTAAAAATTGGAGTGTTTTTCTTTAAAAATCTTAACTCATGTTAGTATATTACACATAATTACTGTTAGGAGTGAAGACACTATCCTTTTGATAAAAACAATCAGCAATAAAGATAATTATCCTTATGTGAGAAGGTGAATTAAAATATGTTAACTGACAAAGTACCACGGATTTTGATTTGTCATAGACTTTGTCATAGACATGACTCAGCAGTTTTAGAAAGATGTAAATACTAGGCATCCTTTTGTTTTCTTTTTAAGTTTCTTTAGTGAGCCAAGAAATCTAATTTTCTGCCTTATGTAAACATCAACACTGTACAAGTAAGTAAATTACTTATTTGTATTTCTTCAAAGATCAATATGCCAGGTTCAACTTATTTACAAACAAGGAATTCATGAATATCCAATCCAGTGTAAAATTCTACAATTACTCATAACCATGCTTAAAAAAAGGCAATAATGGTTCTAGGATCTGACATGAGGACATTCTGATCTACTGTTGAATTTTCTTTTTTTTCGTAGTTTATTTTTTTGGAGAGAGGGAAAGGAAGAGAGAAAGAGGGAGAGAAACATCAGTGTGTGAGAGAAACCTCAGTGGGTTGCCTCTTGCACAGTCCCAAGTGGAGGTGTGGCCCGCAGCCCAGGCATGGGCCCTGACTGGGAATTGAACCGGCGACCTTTAGGTTTGCAGGATGACACCCAACCCACTGAGCAGCACCAGTTAGGGCTACGGTTGAATTTTCTAAAACCCCCAAAATAAACATCCTTGCTAGCCATCTAAGGGCTGTTATCTTAATGACTATGATATTACAGCATAAATAAACTATGTGTGTTGTAAAAGAGTCCTAACAGCATTAGGGTTGGAGGGAAGTAAGAAAACAATGACTATTTCACAGACCGGCTTAGAACTACAGTAGTCTTGTACTATACAGGACTATACAGTCCGTGATTAGCCACACAGGGCTCAAAATTCAGTGAGTTTTGCCAGAAAAAGGTATAATGCTTGAGCTTCAAATTGTTGACCCATACATATTTCACATAAAGCCTTTTTACATAAATTTTCTGAGTCTCTAAAGACTACACAAACTGTCCCCTTCACTGGTGAAGATCAAACTGGAGTAAAGTTCGAGGTCTTATCAAACAAGTCCCCAAAGTCTGTTAATTTAAAATACCATTATAATGTGGAAGAGAAATTGTTTCTGGTTACTAATCGAATTAACCCAAGTGATTCTAGCTGTTCACTTTTAATGATAAGGGGTGTAATTGGGACATTTATTTCTCTTTTTGCCCCCTGCATGCTGCCTACATAGTCTATGGCTATTACTTCTGTCTAAAAAGGAAGGATGGGGTCACAACAGCTGTAAGACTTGGTGCCATTGACCTTGACCTCAAGCTTCCCTGGGGCCATTGACCTTGACCTCAAGCTTCCCGGGGCTGTGGCAGCAGACTTGGTAAATGGGGAACAGGCGGCTGTTTACAACAAAAGCAAGGAGGTTCACATAGCAAAACGGCACCTGATCTTCCCGGCTGTTTTATCTATAGACTGTCGTATCTTCCTGGAGAACTGAAAGACCGACGACAGCAGCAGGTTATCTCCCATGACCTGAAACAGCCAAAGGGAAAAGGAGACATTAATATACCACCACTGCGCTGTGTCATCACCAAGAAGACGAGGCACAGCTCACTATACTTCGGGGCAATTAGTATTTCTGCCAATTTTAATAAAAGATCAATAAAGAACATAATTCATGTATAACTAAATTGAGAAAGAAAGAACTATTAGCAAGTGAGTTCCTTTTTATTAAGTAACCTGTGAAGTTTCCATATTGTTTGGGTCACATCGCTTTCAAACATCCGTCCATAGCATCCTACCATCTGTTACTTTCAAGATTCTATTGTCTCTCATGCCTCCAGTTATATGATCATTACAGGGAAAGCAGAAATAATTTAGAAGACTAAATTTATAGATATTCTTTCATCAAATGATATCAATAGAAAGATGTAGATTACAGTCCTTGTTCACCAGGGCAGAGTCTAATGTGATAGATGTATTTTTAAAATTTACTCAAAATATAAGTTTTTATAACAGTGGGTGAATTTTCAACGCCCTCAGTTGAAATTCATGAGCAAATCCAGAGGTCAGCAAACTTGTGTGCAGGGCCAGAGTCAAGCTTAGGCCAGTGGTCTCGGTCACAACTGCTCACCTCTCACTGTAGCGCAAAAGCAGCTACAGGTTCTGCACAAGCAAGCCCCCTTGGCTGTGGCCATGCTGGGTTTGGCCTGTGTGCGGTGCCTTGTCAAAGGCAGCCAGTGCAGAATGCTTAAAAAGGGATGAAGCTTGGGGGCTCAGCGCTGGGTCCCAAAATCAGCTCCTCAGACTGGCAGAGCTGCATCTGGACACTAGAAAAAAAATCCAGAATATAACATATGGCTTTGGATGTTGAAAAGCTTTATGAAGAACAGCAGGGGAGACCATGGCAATACACAGGCAATACTGCTATTTTATAAGAGTGAACGGAAGTGCTAACGTGATTCTGCACTGTCAGGATTCTAAGGAGTGGGAGTTCTGGGATGGTGGATACGTAAGGAGGACGTCGTCGTGGAAAGTAGATCTTGAGAATGACAAGGATTTGAACGTAGGGGGATAAAAGAGCATTTAGAATGTGTGACACGTAGGGGCGATGAAAGCCTATATAAGCACAATGGTATTTTCGTGAGCCTTAAGGAATCAGATAAAAAGAGTGGAAGACATATATATTCATTAGGATGAAGTGAGAAACAGCAAGGGAGACTAAGGAAAGATTGTTAACAGGAAAGCTCTCTCTTTTCCACCCCCACACAGTGTAGTTGAGTGTTATAATATATTAAAGACTTTCTGATATTAATCTTGAGATAACTATCAATCTAGATGTTTCCATTCTCTTTAAAAATATAAACTCCCACATAGTTTAATTACATTCAGAGGAATTTATCTTCCTAGACCTCAGGACAGAATGACTGACTATAGATTAAGATTAGAGAACAGGTCCTTTTCAAATCAACTATCAGGCTGGGCCAGAGACTCTGTGTTGTAGAGCCACCTAGTGTCCTGCAGCTGCGCCTAAGGAGTGAGCTGGCCCAGTGCTATTCCATCAAGCAGATTTTTGCTACTCGGCACTGCTACAAATATCCGTATTCATGACGGCTAACTTTTAGCTCCTGCTCCTCAACTCCAGGATCCATGACGTCGGCCTAGCATCACACGCCTCTTGTTCGACTGCCCCTTTCTATAGTCGCCGTCTCCCTGCCCCTGAGCTGGTACCTATACCACCTCTGCATTTTGCTCCTCAGTTAGCTCTTAGGTATTTTCCCTTCAGTAAAATACTGTTTGTGGTTATTGTTTGTTTTGTTCTTGATGTTTGCCGATTTTTCTCTTGGGTAATGTTTTTCTTAATTGATTGGTAAGAGTTCATCATAGATTCTGGACAGTGAGGGGTTTTATCTTTCACAATAGTCTTTTATATACCCAAATTTATCAATCTTTGAAAGTGAAAATTTTTTCTATCTTTTAAAAAAATCATTGCCTACTGAAATGTTCAAAGTTATTTAGAATATTTTTCTATTATAAGTTTTAAAGTTTTGCTTTCACCCTTTAGAAACTTGATTCATTTGGAGTTAATTATTTGTATATTATTTGTAATATTTTTGGTAATGATTTATATAGGAGGTGATGTCAAGATGAAGTTTCTTTCCCCGGCCCTACTTATGGAACAGCTCCCTACTTTCCCACAATAGAACACCCTCCCTTGTCACTTGTTAATGCTGATGGTTTACTCACTTCATCTCTGCTCCAGGTTCTCCGCCGTGTAATTGTTAAGTGATCAGGAGGCTCAGTCGGCTGAGGCCTTGAGTCACTGGGCCGACAGTTGTTTCCTTCAGGTGTTTTAGAATTAACTAATGGAGGGATCTTTCGAAAGTTGAGGCTTTCATCAAAAACACGATCAACCAACTAATAGGACAAGAGCAAACCCTTATGAGAATAATTTGAAAAAGCATAGATATTGGCATTATAATTTTTATGATTAGACAGAAGTTATTTCATTCTCAAGTAGTAATAGAAGCATGAGCTCTTCAATAAACCAATTACTCTTTCTTTTTTTAAGTACTTCAAAGGTGTCTGTTTTATAAAATAGATGTTCATCTACATAGATTTTATTTTCAAAATCCAAAATAGATAGCTATTATAAATTTGATTCTTCCATGGACAAGATTTCCCCCAAATGGAAAACAGGTGATAAATTGAAAAAAAATGAGCCATGTAGATGGACAAGGAGTTCATTTTACTCACATTGCCTTACCAGTAGAAAACACCTTTTTTTTACGTTTAGTTTCCTATTTTGTTTTTTCCTTTTTTTTCTCACCAAGTCCAGGTGACAAATTTCTTCACAGATACATAAATTGCAAATTCCAATTAAGTTTACAAAAGGAAAAAATTTTAAATACACAAAATAAGCATTTTGGTCTGAATCAGATAAACTTTTAACAATGGTACAGAAATTACATATTCCAATAAAAAGGATATACTGCCACCTACAGGGCAAATTATGCACATACAATGCAAAGTAACTCAGGTTTACTGAAGGAATAAACTCTAGTATACTATTCAGAAATAAAACAAAAAAAGAAAAAGAAAAATCTATTCAATGAAATGCTTGAATGATTTTACTGGGTCCGAGTGAATTATCATGTTAGATAAAGTTTAGTTCGCTGGGAAAATATTATGTTTATCATTTTAAATGTACCAGAAGAATTGTGTATGTCTTGCCACCAAGATCCTTTGGGTTTTTACCAATAAGGATGACTTTATACACATTTACAATCGATTGGTGTGGTAACAAAACTACACAGATTGATGAAGTATCATTTACCAAGTTAGACAACATACGGGGGGTGGGGGGAACAACCAAAAAAATGACCATTCCAGAATTAGATGATAAAAGGAACGTGTGACAAAAAGCAACCAAAGACAGCATTATTAGCATAGTTTACCAGAATTAAGTTTGTCAAAAAGGCTAGCCATTGTTTATTACTATTGAGAACGTTATTCTATAAAATAAGCAAGTGGAATCATCGACATTAGAGGCTGGCAATTTTTTGTCTGTAAAGGGCCAGAGAATAAACAGTTTTGGCTTTGCAGCCAACCAGTCTCTGTCCAACTACTTTATTTTGACATTGTGGCACAAAACAGCCAAAAGATAATTAAACTAATGAGTGTGGCTTTGTCCTTAGCAAACTTCAACTCATTCTTTCTAATGCCAATCAAGAGAGCCAACTCCACCAGACTACCATCAATTTTGTGTTATACCTTAAAGGTACCTTCTGGAGCAATGGTGTGTAAATGGTGCCCCCTAGAGTTGGCGAGCAGGAGCCCAAGCTTTGGAAGGGCAATGGTCTACCTGCTAATTGACATGCTGGAGAATTTACTGGAACCTTTCAAGACTGAAAAGGTACAGGGGTGGGCATAAGTAGGTTTACAGTTGTTCATATGGACAATAATACAATAACTAATAAACAATACAAGAATAAACTGCTTTGCACACATAACTATAAACATACTTTTGCCCAACCCCTGTATTTGCGTATGTATATAAGCGTTTCGATTTTCAAAGTATCCTTGTGTGGATGTGTGCCCGTTAGTGTGTGTGTATCCACCAACAGAGTGTTTAAAGTAGTAAGACTAGAGTTTTTTTCCTTTGCTATTAGAGCTATCTCCTAGTTAACTAGCCACGAAAATACCTTTTAAAGTGAAGTATTTCATAGCCAAACTTCATAGAAAATTTATACAATCATTTATCAAATTCCGGTTTGATTTTCACGTATCATTTGTGTTCACATTTTAAGTAAAACTATGCGCCAATAATTAGCAATGTACTTATTTTAAATAATATCGCAACTTCCTGTTCACAGTAGGCCTGATGTTAGTTAGCCTTTGCTAGTGGTGTTACCAAAACATAAAAGAAATCTGTGAGAGCAAAGATGGAGAATGCAGAGCTTCATGCAAACAGGGAGGAGGGGCATGAGTAAAAGAAATTAGGCAAAAAGCTGAAAGCAAAAGAAATAAAGAAAAGGAAGAACCTTATGCATTGCTCCATGAGGATCTCCTACCTCTTCTCTAGTGTCTATGGCAGAGCCAGGGGTGGTGGCGGCAGTGCTTACTGTGGTGCTGGGGGCCGTGCCCGAGGACGTCACCGAGTCGATCTCTCCTGCGACGTCGTTGATTTCCCGAGCAATGAGAGCGAGATCCTGGCTGATCCTGGCGATGGTTGTAGAAAAGGGGTTTAACCCCTGTTTAAGTAACAGCTCTCGAGACAATCAGTTACGAACGTTGTATCTCTACAGCTTTGTACCCCAGACTTCATAGCGCTTCTTTGGAAGTGCTATTAACTATGTCGCTATTCAAAAATCTTAAATTTTAATTAAAAAGAATGAATGCAAGTAAATTCCATGTAATCTCAAATTGTTATTTTGAAAAATATACATGAAACACCCTGAAGTAGTGACATGGTTTTAAAAATACCCTTGGGTGAGAAAAAGCATTACAACTTTATTTTCACTAACCTCTAACAGAAGCTTAGCATTTCTGTTTTGTTATAGATCCAAGCAACAAACAAGAGCAGCATTAGCAATACTGGTAATTTTTGTCACCAACAGAAATCACATCATAGTTGCTACACGTGTCTCAAAACATTGAGTCATCGCTACTTCATAATTACCAGTCATTCAACTCACAGCAGTAACGTTCATTTCAGTATTTTAACGAAGAACCGTATGTTATTATATCACTTTAATACTATTTTGATCAGTATATTCCAAAGTAATTGCATTTTTTGCCATTATAACTATGTTAGGTTTGCGCCTTTAGAAGTACTCTTCTGAGAAGAGCTCCTCCTGCTTCCCCAGGCGGCCAAAGGGGTCTGTGGGAGCGGAGGCTGGGAACCCCAGCAGGCGCCCCCGTTACTGCGCACAGCACCGCACAGCACGGCACGTCACCTGAGCGTCGCACAGGCCTTGTACGGCAGGACACATTCCCAGGGCAGCTCAGTGGCTTGCCCGTGCCCACACAGCCTGAAGTGGTAGCTCTGTACGCGAGGCCGCTGAGGCAGGACAGATGCCAGCGGCTCATTCCATGAGGCCCCCTGTATGTGCCGTCGGCCACACGCAATGAAGAACTGAAGAACTGTCGTTGGGGATAATCAAAGGAAAAAAGAATTTTTTTCCTTTACTGCTAGATTTTTAAGAGGGAGGAACTTACAACATCTACCATCGATACTAATGTTTTTCTCAAAAAGATGTCAATTCAGTGAGGCCTGAAAGGTCTGTAAGTTAGGCAGCCGGTGCACATGAACTCTGTTTTGGCTGTTTCCACAAGAAGGTGTTAGAAAGACAGAACATTCTAAAAGCGTATGTGAAAGCTCCCTGCAACTTTAAAATCCAAAGTACAATGTAGCATTTTTTTTAACTTATGCAAAATGTGAGCTTGAAAGACTTATAAGGAATGTAGTAATTGCATAAAAATTTAACCATAAATTTAAAACGAGAACCTAAGTTGTCGGTTGTAGCCCAACAGAAGCAATCAGTGGTCAGTATCTTTTTCATTTACTGGTATATGTGTTTATTGATCGCTTATTATGTGTTAGGCACTGAGCGAGGCACAGAGAGCTATGGTGGTGAAGAAGCAGATAGGGTCCCTGTGCTAATAAGCTTGGAAAAATGTCATGAGCACCATTGCAATAAAACATAATACAATCAAAACCATTATATTATAACATAATGAGCACCGTTAAAAAGCTTTGTGTTCATCCACTCATTTAATTCCCACACCCACCTGTAAGAGAGGTCTCACTCACCTTGTCTTACAGATGAGGAAAATGAGGCTAAGGAGAGGGGATGTGACCGTTTTTTGGTTAAGGCCACAAACAGTAAGTGGTCTAACTAGATCTTACGTCATGCTATACCTGACATTACCGTTCCACATATAATTTTTTAAAACTTTTTAACTATTGATGTAATTCTTTTGGGAAAGGGTTCAAAGTGTTTCCTTAGATAATATATTCAATTCTTGCACTTTCCTGAAATGAAAGAACTAGGGTGAGAAACAGACTAACCAAGCTCATGAGGTAAAAAATAATCACCAGCTTCTACAAAAATCCATTTGTTCTTTAAAGTTTTTCTGTGCAGACACATGTACAAAGAAACGTCTGACATTTGTATAAAGCAGTATGAATCAGAAAAAACATAGGCCACCACAATCGCAGGATGTTATGTAGTAAAACTACTAAAACGAACAACTCAATAAACACAATATTGTTCAGTCAACAGGCACCAAAAAGCCTCCTTTTAATTTGCAAATATGCTGTGTATACACCAGCTGTGCCTTTGCATGGCAATCCCTACCTTAAAGTTGACTAATAATATAGACCATTCAATGAACTCAAATCCACACTGCCTAAAAACCTTCACATCTACTAAAACCAGTAAAACGCAAATTATATTAAAAAAATTGTGAATATCTTCAAGTAGAAATAGCAGATTTATGATCCAGAATAGGGTATGAATCTATTCATGCAACCATGTTAAATCTAAGCTTCAGATTGATTCTGTGATGCTCTCTTCCCATCTCTTGTATCTGTGCTCTTTAAACTCCACGCTTCTAATGCCTGCTCTTATTCTCAATTTCCACAACATCAAATCTGGTAGAGGAGGAAAGTCTAAAGCGATACCTTTTATTTGGAGTTTTGCAATCCATCGGCTTCATTTGCAAAACCAATAAAAATTCAAGCCTTCTATTTTGAAAAACTAATAAACAATTTTCACATTTCATTTCCTTTTTATAAAATGTGACTAGGACAACAGTCTCAAAGGAAAGAAATACAGTTGAGGGTTAAGTTCTACAACACCAGTGCTAATCTTCCATCTCCCTGAGTGTCAGAACCAATGATCCAATTTCAAAAGTTTGGGTAGAAATAAATATGCATGACTTGTAGTAAGCGGGGATAACATGTGGAAGTTAGGAATTTTCTTACATAAAGGATCTCAGTAATATCACTCTTTCTTATTTAAATTAATTAAAAGTTATTCTTTCACCAAAGGGTCAAATGGGGGGGGGGTGTATTAAAATAGGCTTTGAGTGCACTGGAAGTTTAAAAGAAATACTGAAAATCAGAGTTCTATGAAATGCATCTCTTATTATTAAACATGCAATGTTTGCTAGTGTGATTTAAATACTGGAAGTCAGACTTTATTGATTTAGACTGCCAACGACAAAAATACTCTTTAAGGTTTTAAATTAACTGTAAAAGGATAAAGTCTGCTTTATCTTTTTAATAGCATATCACCTTTCAAAAGTTTTTAGGTCTATGTAGAGTTCCAAAGGATATATCTACAAACCATTACAATGAGGTTACCTTTGCTATTACTGGAAGAAAGGAACTGATGAGCTACGAATGAAGTATATTAGCTTTAGAATCCCAACACTGAAGCTAACGACAACAAATCAAACCTCCTGTTACTTTATCAGTGGATAAGAGATCATAACTACAACTTTAATTACTTAGCTTTTAATAAATAATTTAGTCTCGTTTTAAAAGGCCAAGCGATAAAATATAAAACTAGTACAACAAGAAACATGTTAGCATCATTCCAGAAAAGTTTATGTTGAACCTGACACTGTAACGAAGCATCAGGAAGAAGTCAAGCTCTCAACAGATTTAAAAATTAACTCACATACTTGACCTAAGTACAGCCTATTGGGAAGGTTCACAAAAAAGTTTCCTACCGATAATATCTTCCTCTACTTTTGGTGGAAGCTCTCTGCTACATTTATTACATGTTAGGGGCATTTTGTGCCAATACTGCAAAACCTTAATGAAGGAATTACGGCAGACCACATCTCACGTGGACATTCAATGAAATGGGTAACCTAAACTACAAAATACTGGCTAAGGCTGGGATGATAATGAGCTGAAACTGGAGACTTGAGCAGCCAGGGTGATTTAATGAATGGCCCAAACAGGGAAGTAAACTACTGGAATCTATTTCTGGCCACCAAAAGTGGCATTTAATTATAAAGAAAGAGGTACTTCCCATTGTCAATGAAACTAACTCCAAAAGCTAGCTTTGCACCACAGGTAAGTTATATTTGGTGAAATGCAGAAGAGACTTAAAACTTTTGATTTAATCACCTTCTGATTCAAATGGGAATAGGATAATCTTCTAGTATAATTTTTAGTTTAAATGTATGTATGTATTTATTTATTTTTAGAGAGAGGGGAAGGGAGGGAGCAAGAGGGGGAGAGAAACATCAATGTGTGGTTGCCTCTTGTGCGCCCCCGTAAGAGGATCTGGCCTGCAGCCCTGAGTGGGAATTGAACCAGTGACCCTTTGATTCGCAGGCCGGCACTCCATCCACTGAGTCACACCAGCCAGGGCAGGTTAAATATATTTTTATTTGATCATCTGTAAAGGTGGTCTTATAGCTTTGTTTATCCTAAAATTCATAAGACCAGTATAATCTATCAAATTTGTACTAGAAGGAAATCTCTATCTGTGTTATAATAGAGAAACTGAAGCAGGAACTAACAAAACCATAGGTATCGGGGTACCCAGAAAAAAAGTTTCTTTTTTTAATTGAAAACCAAATAGAGTACATTCTCCTTATATACTTTATATTCTAAATGGACCTTGTTTTTGTACTGTAAGTTTATATGCAGCTAAATAATTACTATGTACAGATGGACAAAGTGCTAGTTAAGCGGTACGGGCCTAGGTTCTAAACAAAGAGCATATTGCTAAAGCCCAAAACCTCCTGTAATAAATTAAAATCACTATTATGATTTCAAAATAAAAGTGTCCTCCCCAACATGCTCTCAGAATGTGAGTTTCAAGTGACAGGTGACCCATTTACAGAAATAAAACTACTTCTCACATTCGACTCATTTTGTAACTCAGATATTTTAAAATACATTTTCTCATGTTAAACAACCTTACCAGTGTCCTATAGGAACATTAAACATTAACATTAACTTTATTTCCTTCCATACTTTCTATCCTTCCTGCCCCCTTCTTTTTTTATTCTTAAAAAAAAGAAAAAAAAACCTTCTCTGGTTTTGAGATATATGGCAGAAAAAGATACCTTGAAAAATTAGAATCTCAAGGGCAAGTTTTATTAGTAGCAGTGCTACTGACAAGCTACTGGGAAAGGGCACCACATCATTCAAGGCTAAATGGCCTGGTCTTACAGCCCTGCTCTAGATAACAAAGGTACACACAGACAATGGTTATAAAACGCACATAACAATGCAATGGAACCGAGTGAAAATATAACATCAGTTCCTTTCCGCTTGTCCCCTTTCCTGTTTGGGGCAAGGGTGTGGGTTTGGGCAAGCAGGTGCTCAATCACCATAGTCTGGGGCAGACAGCTTGTGAGAGGAGGCCTCCTATGGAGAGGCAGGCATACATGCCCAGTCCCTCCAGTAGCACCTGAGCTTGCGTGGTGGGACGTCTCCCCAAGGAGGGACAAAACGAGGAGACAGGAGCAAGGCCTGCTGTTGCCAGCTGTGTTCACAAGAATAAAAAAGGCATCAAGATCCTCTCACTACAGGCGTTTTGTGGGCCCATCGTAACGCCTGCCCTTCCTCAGACCAGAATGGGCTTACCATGCTTCAGTAATTATTCTCGTAGAAATGCTACTTGGATGGTAAAATAAAAATGGTTAAGTAGCACCAGGGGATTAGCAAGGCATGTTCTCTGAGAATTACAAGCAATTAAAAGTAAATCGACATTAAAGACAAAACCTCTAAACATTACATTAAAATAATAAGCCAGAAAAAACACAATTCACAGAAGTAGAGAGAGTAAAGAAAAAAAGATAAAGAACATAACATTATATTATTAGTTTGTTGGGTTTTTTAAAAGCATCTGTAGACTAATATGTAATTCTTTAATAGTGTGGCCAAATGTAAAACTTGATAATTTTAGCACATATATGATGAAAACATTTAGGTAACATATGGTATACTGCAATAAAAGTTAATATCTTACAAACTTTAAAAGAAGTTATATTTTAACTATAATAGCATCTGTTTGATTACAGTATCTCTCAACGTTCAACCACAATAAGTTATCAATTAAAAATCACACCTGCGGCATGAATTTCACTTTTTATTATATAGCCTAAAGGTTATAATGAAGAAATTTAACATTGAAAATAAACATACTTTGATTTAATTATTAAAGGACTGAACTAAACTTAATAAACTCATAAAAGTGTGAGTAAAAAAATCTGCCCACTCTAGTTCTCCACAGAGAATATTAACGACATACCTCTCACAAATACACTACTACTACCTCTTTGAAAGGGAAGAGGAATAAAAAATTTAGCTACATAATTCTTAATTATGTAGAACTGATACTAACTGCCTTTCAAAAATTATATTAACTCATCAGCATCTCTAGTAGAAGTAAAAAAGTAATAAAATAAATTAATCCTACAATTATGGTAGTAGCACTGGCGTAGAAAATATGAAATGAAAAAACAATGGATGGAAAGTAATATTTACATCTGACAAAACTAAGTTCACAGTCACCTGTGGATTTCGTTTCTTGGACAATTAGTACCAATCAAGTAAAAGCTTAACTTTGCTATCAAGTTGAAATGTTGGCAAAAAATTTAACTCTTAGAGATAATCCACTTAACCCACCTGGCTATCTCTTCTCGGTGTGCAGTCCAGTCTCGGATATAGTCTTCCTGTTCTTTTATCCGGTGCTTGAACGAAGAACTCGTAGGCATTGCCGACCCAGAGCTCTGCAGCCGAGTCGTTTTCAGGGCTGGAGAAGTACGTAGACGGGTATGTTTAGGGGAATTACGGTTTGATCCAAATTCATCTTCTGAGGTGGAAGCATAATCAGTAGGAAAGCGCCTCCATCTTGAATTTACTAAATTAGTTTAATTATTAAAAAAAGAATTATTATGTTATCTTTTAAAGGCGATAAAGTAAAAATCATGATTTCAAAAACACCATGAGCACACACAGCACAATTTTCAATAACTGACATACACATACCTCACAAAAACCATAAGTCTACTACTCCTTAAAGATAGAAACATTACAGTTTGGTGAATTAAAAACAATGAAGAATTAAAAATAACTGAAAGACTGTGTTTTCTGTAGTATGGTGAATAAACATTTAGATGAAAAATTCACTAATGGTAAACAAGTAAGCAAGCCCAGGTACTTTTTAATTGCAAGTATTTCTCATTTGAGTGAAGATATGGATTTTTTTTTGTTAAATAAATGACGGCAACAATAACAACAACAACAAAAATAAATTAAGGGAAAAGATTTCTTCATGCCACATGGACTTTCAACATGGAGATGGTAAAAACCCTCTTTTCCCAACACATACATGTGCATAATTCCTGCTGTGGAAATTATGGCAGAAAAAAACATTACCTCTGTCACTCAACATCCTGTTATGCTATGATTGGAAAAAATCTTTTTACATGGTAAAAGCACAACAATGCATCTTCAGTACAACTCTGCTGCTTTGACACAAAGCATACGGTGAAAATAGACAACGGCATAAAAACCACAAGGAGCAGAACTCCACAAGCTGTTCTCACCATCGACATTTAGGCACAGGAGGTCACATTTGAAAAATCAACAGACAAATTAATGCAGACACTTCACTACTACTGTTATTTTAAGAATCAAACATAATTTGTGATGCATAAATAGAGGTAAAAAAAGGGAAGCACAGGTTAATTTATGGCAAACTCCACGAGGACAGGAACCGTGCCTGTTTAACCCGCCAACGTGAAGCCCTAGTGCTTAGTGGAGTGTCCGGCTCGCTAACGTTTAATGTTTTTGAATAAATGAACTAATTCCTGGATAGTGACCATTTGCTTTTCTCACATTAGGAAAAACCTAATAATAACCATGAGATGTTTTTGGTGGTTAAAAGGAATAAAACTGTAGCACATGCTGTAAGTTCCAACGGCTGCTATTAATATTAGGAATGTCTTTCTCTTTCTCTCTCTCTTTATAAAACAGAAATGCACCCTAGGCTGTGTAGGCTGGTGAGGTCTAGAATTCTTTCACTTTATTCCCCTAGAATTTTATACCCTTCCTGTCTTTTCCATCCCAACTACATTTTTGCATGGGGCTCTATAAGGGTGAATTGGCTCTCAGATAAAACAGAGAAATATAATCAGGAGTACACCATAAATCAGAGTCTACCCATTCGCTTTAATTTACAGTCCTATTTGAAGCTCTTGGAGCTTGGAACTAGAGTCATGGGTATAAGAACATAAAGATATGTGGAAGCTTCCTGGCTTTCTGCAGAAGTGTACTCAAACACATATACAGAACTCTGGGTAATCCATTACAGGTTTTTTTGAAGAGGGGATTAAATATAACTTCTGATTTTAACATTATTATCATTAACATAAATAATATTTTAACGCTGGGGGTAATTTACTCATTTCTAGATATTTGAAAATTTCTATTAATTGAACTGACCCTGAGAACTTGAAAACAACTTTAGGAAAAGTTTAGGAACATGAGCAAAGGGGTTTTAGAAAAAAGTTAGAAATATGTCAAACCCATTAAAATATGGCAAAACAAATGTGTACTTTTCCATAAAAACATTTCATTTAATGTTTATTTTGGTACCTTAGAATATGATTCATTAAAGGAAATACATAAATACAAAAAAGGTCATTTGTTAGGTTAAATTTCCCAATTTTTGATGTGGGAACTATGGCAACCGTGCATATTGCTGAAAATTGTTGGGAGAGAAAACAATACCAATAACAAAGAATGTTAATAAATTGCAAAAGTTACGAAACCATAAGCAGGTAAGATGGGACCGAGGTGGGTCGGTTAGAGGCAACATGGCAAGAATGGGCACAAGAGTGGACAGTTCCCGAGTGGCAGCGCAGAGGGAAGCAGAGTAAGAAACGGACCACCAAGGGCTACTAACGTACATTCTGTGTCATCTGACAATGTACAAGGAGAGCCACATGAGAATTAACTTTTAATAGCCTAAGTCTCAAGATCATAAGATTGTAGGGAAATGTTAGAGAAAAAAAGAAAAAGAAAAACTTTCTTTTCAAAAGAAATTTGTAAACGCCCCAGGTATTTTTTTTTAGATCTACCTGAGAAGCTAGTAAGAAGAGTGACAGCTTCCAATAGTATCTTTAAAAGGAAGAGCAGCTGAAAGAATACAACATATTTTGAAAACTAAAAGGGAACATTTCTAGGTTTTTTCTCTTAAAATTTAGGGTAAAGTGAAAGATAAAGCAGGGTACAGCTGAGAGATGAAAATATGCATACTCTTCCAATTATTAGGGGGTTAGCTTTACTGATGGAAAACTCGTCCTACTCAGTGTACTGGAGCAAAGCCCACGGTGCCTCTGGACACCGCTGAGCCTGTGTAATAAGAGCAGAGAGAGCCAAAAAGGAGTAAAATGACTGCAGGCAAAAAGCAACTGGGAAAGAGACTCGAATGCTAGGACCCCTGATCAATTATTTCCCAAAAACCTTCCTTTAATCGATTTTGCTGTCTTAATCTTTGCTTCCAAACAATAGCAGCTATCCATTTTATTGGAAGGAAATCCCAATGCCTGCTTATTTCAGAGAATTTTAGAACAGACTGACCTTAGACATTAAGATAGTCTATATTCTTCAAACTATGGAGAAGAAACAGACCCAGAGAGGTCTTGCCTGGCTTCACTCAAAGTTGAAGCCAGATCTACTGACTCCCAGAGTTCAAAACTCATTCCTTACTATTCCAATTGCTTTACAAGTAAAAGTTAGAAACTCTCTTATTTTTTTTTTTTACATTTCCAGTTTGATTATTTTTTTAAAGGCATCCTCAGTTTATCAGAGAATGATAGATTTTCTGATCTCTATCTTTGCTAAAAAAAAAAAATGTTACTTCCTCCTCTTCAGTCTTATTCTGCTTAGGTAAAATCATGCAGAGAATTAAATATAATTTATATCATTAGGCTTATTTGATATATCGGCACTACTAAGGCATTGCAGAGAAATCATTAAATTGAAAATGTATATTGAGGTATTTGAAATGCCGATCTCTGACAGGTTTCTTGGTTGCTGTGATACTGAATAGCACGTATAATAAAATGAGATAGTGTTCTAAGATGGATTAATTGATTTCAGAGCTAACCTGAAATTTTGATCAGTTACATTAATTATAAACTTATTTGGGTTATAAAATTATGCAACACTCCCTCTTGTGGAAGTAATAAACTATATTCACTATAAAAACATACCATGAAATCTAGAGAAGTAAAGAACGAAAAAGGGGTTATAAGGGTCTTTTATCTGTGACTGCTCCAGTTTCTTTTACTGTTACTGAAACTCTGTTGGCTTTAAAACACATCCACATTTACAGATGTAGCAGAAGCATTCAGACAACAAACAACGCATCTTCATATTTTATGTAAGAATATTTTTGTGGGAATTTAAACCACAAACACATTTTACATGTGTATTTATGAGCACGTAGCAAGGCAGTAACATCCTTTAAGGAAAAGAATCCCTGACAATGTTCTTATAGTGGTCTTTGACATGGAAGAAGAAATAAATTAAGCCATGCATGGCCAACATTAAATTTCTACCCTCTATAAATTTTGAGGACTAGAATAAAAAGGGGAAAGCAAAAAGTCTAAAAAAATTCTAACAGTGTTAACATGATGTCTTTATTTTCTACCATGTGCACTTATAATGAAAACCAACTACTTTATTTTGACAGTTCAGGGTACTTAGTTTTAAATATACCTTATTTAAAATAGACCTGGATATTTCTATATTCTTGATATTAAAGGACCATTGAAGGAATTTGGGGGGGAAAGCTTGTTAAACTAAATGTAAATTACATCAGAAATAAAGAGGTATTAAAGGATCTTTACTCTTAATTTTGCTTAATCAGAAATTCCCATTCCTCTATTTTTATTATATACATTTCTTTGAAAAACTTTTTTAGGCATAACCTAAAATATAAAATTTGAATTACTACAAAGTGATTTTTACATGTGCCATTATGGGCAATATCACACAGGTTCTAGGTTCAGATATTTCAAAGATCTTTAAAATTTATAGTGTGCACAGCAACACTGATCTGTATGGCTTCACATTCTTTTAAATCATATTTCAAAGCTAAGAATTTTATTTTCTTTTTCTATTCATGACATGATTATCTTTCATAGAAATAGCATAATATCAAAGATACCTCAATTAGCAATATAAAAAAAATGTTTGTTTTGTGTGTGTGTGTGTGTGTGTGTGTGTGTGTGTGTGTTTACTACCTACCCCGTGCCCCATGTAGCTATAACGTTTTCATATATTACCACTGACTGAAATATGCTGGCCACTGTCTTTCTAGATAAAATGTCATAAATGGACATTGTGAGAGAGTCTGGATATACAATCCTGGGTCATAATGTGGCTTTAGGCTCATCAGGAGGAACATGAACTTGGTAAAACATCAGAATGACAAAGGTTATAGTGAATAACACCAAGGCCCGTGTACTGTATACTGGCCTTACGTGCACTCCTGACGGTAATCCAAGCATCTAGCAGTCTTCGGGTGGCCTGTGTGCAAGGAGACAGAGACTGTTTCTCAGAGCTGGACTAGATGTGGTGGAAGAAGCAAAAAGCTGGGAATTAAAAGCCCTGGATTCTCATCCTGTTCCCTGCCTCAGCTGTGTGACCAGGGCAGGCGATTTCATCTCTTGGCCTTAGCTATTAGCTACTTAAACTGAAGAAAACTTCTAGCTGTTAAATTCCATGATTTTTATGATCTAATGTACTGCTATTATGTACGAAGGTGGCCAAAATCACGTACCTCAGTCTGCCCTAAAGAATTTCAGTAACGAATTCAAGGCACTTTTTGGACATAGAAAAATTGCACGTTTGCCAAGTTCCACAGTCAAAGAAACCAAAAACAAAGCTTATCTTTAAAGACACGCATATAATATGGCATTTTATAGCTATTTCTTAGACTTGCTGAAGTAATCACATTTGGTTTGCTTCGCAAACAAGCCCCTCATAGTAAACACTGAGGAATAACACCGAATCACTCATGTGCTAAAAGCTGAACAACAGGACAGAAGGAAGAGTTGTTCCAAGCCACTTGGTGAGGTAGAGCGTTTATGTTAGAGCCTATGTTATGTTACCGCTTGTGTTAAGACTGGAGAGGCCTTAAACATTTTTATAAACTCATAGAGACGAGGTGACGAAATACACAATGTGACAGAGAAATTCTATCAGAGCACACAGCAGAGAAAGCAGCACAAAGGAAATGTGAATTGAAGACGTAGCGCCATAAGGAATGACAGAATAACACTGAGTAAACATAAACTGAGAGATAGCAGTAGTTCATTTTCAAATACTTGGCAATAACTCTATGACCCACCAACCAAAGTTTGCGGCATAAAAACAAGATGCAGGTAATAAGGAAAATGCACCTATTGTTTTTGGAATCATGATCGTCTGTTATGTGTCTTCAGCCTACACACATTCCTACCACAGGTACGACCACCGTCACCATACCCACCGACCCGGACAGAGATGGAAATGTGAATAGAGTGGAGGAACCAGCAGTGGAGAGAGAAGAGGAGGAACAAAAAGTGAAAAAAGTAACATACACAAAGCGCTGTTAGTTTTGGGTCTTGCAGGCTACGTTGTGGCAGGTGTGAAAATAAAAAGACAAGACCAGAGGCCGACTTTCCCTTCATCCTCACTCGGGGCCTGGGCTCACCGAGATGCCTGCTGCCTGAGGGTGATAAACGTTCAAGGTTGTAACCGCGGGTTTCCCCGCACTGGCCTTTCCAGCCACACCCACACAGGAGGCTGATTATGAGGTCGTGAGGCCCTGTCCACAGGATATACACAAACATCTGTCTCGGTACCCAAGGGGTCACATGTGTGTTCATGGGCCTCAGCGCTCAATATGAAGTATATAAACAGACGAATATGCCAGAGGCAGTTAAAATCTGGGGGGGAGTAAGTCGTGTACAGAAAGATTACAGGCAATGACAGCTAATTACTACACTTAAATGATATAAGGGTGCTTCATGAGCGGATGCTCATAAGCTGTTAAATTTCTATAGCCCAGTTTGACCCATGTGCTCAGCGACTGCCTCACGAACCCATCTTCTTCCACTGAAATAGATCAAGGATTAGTTTCACTTGCCCCAACCATCAACAGGTCTAACTCTTAAAGGTGTGCAAGACAAGACCACATACCGAAGTAAGGTGTATAAGACATGTCAAAAATAAGTAAAAAGGGTGAAATATTGATCCTTTCATTTAGCTCTGAAAGGAGTAATAAAAGGTACACTGCTTTTCTTCAGATCCATAAGGGCTTTGAACTAGGTGAGGATATTTGAAAGTTAGACACATGCTTTCAGGAGCAAAAAGTTAATTCCTATTATCTAAACCAGATTGTAATTCTTAATCTGATTTTGACACACAAATCCAGATAGCTCACCAACTAGACAATTAAATCTCCTATATCAGTTCAGTATACCTCTAATTTTGAAATCACTATTTTACTCCAGGATATTAAGGGGAAGTGTATATAACGTCTGAATTTTCTATTTATTAAGCTAAATGAAATAATTTTTATAGGAGAAAATCCTTTATAGAGTAATTTTTCTGTTGAATATTTTGAGAAGCAATACTGGAGATTTAATTTATTTTTTAAAAAAAGGAATCCCAAAATATAAAATAAATATGCTAATATTATAAAAAGTCTGGATCCAATTTACCTGAAGGAGAGCCATGCGTTGAGGTCATACTTTTGACCTTGGAGTCTGAGAGTCGAGAGATGCTGTTGGCTCTAATTCTAGGAGAAAATTTATCTGAAGGTACTAATCTGGCCCCACTTCGAACGATGGCTTCTGCGGTCCGTGAAGAGGCACTACTTCTAGAGATGGTCGCTTCGGAGTCACTGCGCGCTGACAACGAGCCCAGCCGCGTTCTCCGAGGCTGGGCCAACAGATCTATCCTAGAGATGTTACGCCTTCCTGTGGGAGGTTTTGACGTTGAACTTGTTGTGGACACCTCAGAAGCAACAGATGCTTTGTCAGCATCAGCAAGTTCACTATCTGAAGCTTCACCAAGTCGCGCTCGGCGCAAGAGGGAAGTCCTGGTAGGTCGTGGCCTTGGAAGAGTGGTGGATTTACTGGATGAACCAGGTGCTACAGGAGAAGTCTTAGACTTGGTCACCTTACTTCCATCCAGTTTGGAATGTGCATGCTCATCAGCTGAGGTAAGTGGAGTCCTTCCATGAGGTTTACAAGAGTATGTTTCCTGATCAGATGACAGAATGTCAGAGATAGCAGAATGAGGTACACTAGAGGTTTGGTCATCGTCAGTTAAATCCACCGAAGGCTGTCTTATTCTTCCGCTGGACTGTACGAATTTACGACCATCTGCTCTTGAACCTAGATCTGTGGAACGGCTTTTTGTTTTCTTTTCCATTTTCTCCCTAGCACCAGAAGATGACTTTGCAGCATCTTTGGAAGGAGAACCTGAAGAACACCTATCTTTATAGAGACTGGTGAAGCTCTTTCGCTTTTGGGTTGACTTCCTTTCAGTCTCCCCCGTGACCAGGCTGATTGTACTAGCTGTGTCCACATCAGATTCTGGTGAAATAGAGTTGTCTCTGTTATAACTGGGAGTATCTGGGCCTTCATCAGTTTTATTGTCTTCACGCAGTTTAGCTTCTAGAAAAGCCATCACTGCCTCTGTGTCTTTAAGAATAAGAGTTGTGTCCATACTGGAATCAGTTTCCATAGAGTCGCTTCTTTCACGTGTTCTGCCGGCGGATGTCAATGCCAAAGAAGGGGGTGTAGATGAAGTCTGCTTATTTATATGGGGAATGAGTTCTATGGGGATGTTCGGGCTGGGTTTTTCTATAGTGAAGCTTCCTTGTCGCACTAATGACTTGGAGGATTCCTTCTTGTCCCCTCCCTTTGAAGTGTGGCTTTTCAGAATTTCCTCGGCTTTCCTTCGCTTGCCCTCGCTTTGTATCACCCTTTCTCCTTTGCTTGCAGAATGTCCTGGAATTTTTTCTGGGGGTTGTGACTCCTGTTTGAAAGATTCCTCCCTACTTCTCTCTACCTGACCTGAGGCATTTTTTGAAGATAATTTAGTAGGTGTCCACTGTTCCTTTGGTTCTTGTTGCTGAAGTTTAGCTAATGTTTGCTTTACCAAAGAAGCTTCCTTATCAGCTTCACCTTTCTCCTTCCCCGGGGAAGAGCTGCCTGCCTGCAGCGGGGCTTTACCGTCTCCACCAGTTTTAAGAGTCTCCCCGTTCACCGCCCTGTTTGGTTTCGTCAAGGCTCTGTCAGCATCTTGTTTGTCTTTCTGGTATACCTGCGTGGGGGCTTCCTTCTCCTGAAGCTCTGTGTCTTGCTTTTCTCCTATCTCTGACCTCTGGCTCATAACTTTTGCTCTGGAGCTCTCCAGCGACTTCTCCTCATTTGGAAGCTGGGGGAGGGTCCGTCTCCTTCTCTCTCCCTGACTGGCCAAGGAACTGGCCGAGACAGTGCTTCGCATGGAAATGCCAGATTCGCTGATATCTGTGTCTGCGAAATAAAACCACAAAGAAAAAATCAGGGCAAAAAGGAAGCATAAAATGAATACCATATTACACTAGGTTTTGAAGTGCAAGGTAAGACATGACTTAAGTATAAAATGAAACTTGGACTAAATAAGCCAGCATTGTGACAGAGCAGTTTAAAAAGCAAGAACAATGCCAAGTGCACAAATGGGCAGACTGCTGACAGGGCAGCCAGGAGAGTAAACCACATGGGATGAAAGTTAGCGTCATCTGATCTGAAACCTCCATCTGTTGCATCTTTTTCTGTTAATGTGTTTTATGGAAGTTCACTGTGCTCATTCTCGCTTTTGTGACTTATCCCATCGTCCAAGTTTTGCTCACGACAACGGACGCTAACTACCGTGTTGCAGAATTGCAGAGAGTGCCTAAAAAACAGTTTATTTGCCATATTTTCAATTACACAGTAAGCGCCTAGTTTTTAATAATCATTACTATCGACCTGAAAGAATAAGTTGGAGTTCTAAGTAAAATGGAAAACGTAGGACTTCAATAGGGTGTGAAATAAAAATAAAATTCAAAGCCGATTTAAAGAACTTTTTAAACTGTAAGTATGAAAAAAGGTGATAGGACTTGTCAGAGTTTTACAAACAGAGGGGTTTTAGATTATGGCTGTCTGGTGCATCAAGGTCACTTAATACATGACCACTTCCTGTTTTTCAAGTAAGTAGAAGCCAGTGAGAAAATATATACATTAATTTTTCCATGTGAGAGAATTTGAGAATACTTAAGGAGGATTTTCCTGAGTAAATGGAATGTGTTTCTGAGAAAAGGGATACATCTTTCAGAGAAATATAATTAACATATAAAGGATCCTGATTTTTTGAAAATTGGGGAAAAGATGCTAGATATAGCTTCGATAGGCCTTTTTTTCCTTTACAGTTCTTAAAGTTTAGTATTTAAATTTCATAGCAATACAAGGAATATGATGCAAGAAAATACTAAACTTACTGATTTAACTTTAATTTAGCAATTAAGCATGTGTTATTTTGTTATGGCTTATTTCCTTGCTACTTGAAGCTTCTAAAATGTACTAGCTAGTTTATGTTTCTTGTATTTTTCTAGCATTTCTCACACTGGAGAAATGTTTAAAAAGAACACTTTAGATGTAAGATGTAAATTTATCAGTAAATTTAGAACGAGAAGCAGGAGCGAGATAATGAAGACCCAAGTGGTCTGTTTCTTGTAGTGAGGATAGAATTTTGCTCTCCAGAGCTAATATTTAAATATTTCATAGTGGTTTCTTTTTGTAAATGTATGTAGCTCCTCTGTGTGGTCCCTGTTTCCCAAACACGAACTGCTTTCTGTGAAACAAGCTGCCAATCACTGTCTTTCCAAAGATGTTTGGTAAAACTATCGATTGCTTCCATGATTTCCGACTGGTAAATGATACAGCTTTTTCTAAGCCCACTGTTGCGTATCTTGCTCAGATAATTGCTCACCAGTGTTCCCGAAATTCCTAAGCTGGATTTGTGGGGAGCCACAAGTCAGAGACAAAATAAATTTCTATTTCCGTTTCTAAAGACAACAAAATGAAGACTATACATAAAAAGCCACAGGCAAATTCTCCTTCAGCGGTTTTGTAAAATTAAGAACATAATTAACTGAATCTAATAATATCATTAGAGGCATAAAATTTGTTTTCTTGAAAGAAACTGTATTTCAGTTCACAGAAGTATAATTAAAAGGTAATAAAAATCACATGACATAGATTCAAAAGATGTAGTAAGTAAATTATGTATTAATTCTTTTTTAATTGATATATGGCACAAAAAGTAGCATTTACATATTTGTTGTATTAACGAAGGGGATAATTTGGAATTGTGTTAGTCTTTTTAAACTTTCGTGTTACATAAGTTTGTGTATATTATGTGCTTCGTCTATAAATTATCTCTTTATCATCAGAGTTAATTTTAATGATTTCCACATTAGTGAAATTAAAATTATATATGTAATATAAGCACGATCATGTCTGAAAATGCTTATCTAGGTTTAATTTACTTCTCACTATATAGATTTAGCTTGTTATAAATAACATATGTACTATTCACACAGATGCACACACACAAAGAAAATACCGTTCTCTAAAGAAGCAGGTACAGACAATTCCATTAGCCTTTCTTCTTGGTCATGCCTTGTATGGTTAGCAGCCAAACTGGCCCACTGTGAAACCCAGCGCTTGCTGCCAGATGAAGGTGGGACTTCCTGAAGAAGAAAAATAACAAAATAACAGTCTGGCCAAATCTGATTCTCATGAAAGATAATTCCAGTTAGTCACATTAACCTGTCATACAAAGCAATATTTACAACTTGTATTCTTATATTATCATTTATTAAATTTCCTTGTATATGATGAAATGGATATTCTCTAGTTACCCCTTTTAACTACAACATTTTATTATTACTGTGAATGTAGTATAATTCAACTTATTAAAGACTAACAGTGATACTAAAATAAACTCTTGGAGCTAAAATGTACTGGTCTAGGTAAACTTGGGTGTGTTATCACAGCTTTGTGGCGATGACAACAGAGTTAGTTCTACTCCATTCTGCAGAAGAGGGAGTCTAGTCTAAAGATCTATGCGTAAGTTCTTCTCTAGCCCGCTAATTGTTCCTAGGAATCAGAGCATTCCAGAGTCTCAAGGAGTATGAACTCTGCCAGGCCATGCCTTCAGGGATTTCAAAACCAAACCCAGTGCTCAACACTTCTTTCTATATAACCCTTTAGTATTTTCAGAAAGAGCTAGAAATCACTTAACCTTTAAGAACTTTTCTATAACCAATCTGAATCTATACCTTGCCCATGTCTAGATCTATCCTTAAGGCAAGTATTCTTTGAACCCTTAGAGTCAAATGTGAAGTGGAATTTAATTTGTGATATGGATCCGAAGACTTACGGACTTATTAGGTAATTCTGAAGACCAGAGCCATCTAGGCATTTAATATGGAAGAGCTAGGGAGTGTAGAAAAAAATGGTTTCCCATTAAAAATCCAAGCCAAGGCTTAAATACTGAAATTGAAATGACAACTAAGGTGTAGAAAGCTATGCCTGAAAATTTATTTTGAATTATTCAAAACAATAGTCCATGAGAAGTGCCAGGTTTACTGCATTACTGATGACAGGCTAGAAACTGCTAAAGTAAATATTTCCTATAGACTGATACTTTACGATTTCTAAAGTAATAAGTTAAAATAGTAAATAATACATAACACCCATACAGTGAAGTCTGAGGAATTCTTGCCAAATCCTTGAATTCCCGCTCAAGATTCTGTGGTAACTGCCTATGACTCTGGCACGGAAGGCAGTACCTCAGCCATTTACACCACGCCAAGAATACCCAGAACAGAGTGGGTTTCAGAGGCACATGCTCATGTAGAACCATTCTGCAAAAACTGTCTCAATGGCCTTTTTAGGTGACTCCTTCAAAGGTAGGGTCATCTTGGGGCTACATACAAATTTTACTTGGCATGGGCTGAGGGGACAGAGGAAAGAAGAGAGAGTCTATTTAAGTTCACATTTACCAGAATCCTTCCTTGATGAATCAGAAAACCAAAACATTGCTTCAGATAAGTACTGCTCACTTTCAATAAGTAAATTAAGGATCTTATAACACAGAATAAAAATTCTCCAAGATCAAGGGAGGGAAGAAAAAGCAATAAGGTACAGTAATTGCTTTGATATTTTTCAGGAAATGGCAAACCATAAAGGGGCAATTTTAACATATAAGTAGGTATATTTACCTGTCTATAAAAATATCTTATTTATACTTCATACAAATGGAACTATTTATATTTTGTTTTATTTATACCTTAAGATTTTATTTCTCTTATTCACCATTTGTGTATTTTAAATGAACTCATTTTCTAAGAGGCACTATAGCATAATGAGTAAGAGAACAAGTTAAGAAATCAAGGCTGCTTAAAGTTCAAACTCGACCTCCACAAGGCACTAGTTTTAAGACCATGATCAACTTAATTACTACATACTTCCATTTCTTTCTTTGTAAAACAGTACACAGAAAGCTTCCATTGAATGTTAGCTCTTATTATCTGAATAAATTATATAATTAATTAATACTTCTCAGTTGCATGCATTTTTTCATTTCTTTTTGACACATCAGTGTGGAATGACATTCTAAGATCATTTCCAATAAAGGACTGAACACTTAAGTGCATAAATCTCAGTCAATTACCATGCTGGGTGTTTTATATACCTCACTGAACTCTCTGTAAACAGGTTTTATTAAAAATACCATTTGCAATGATGAGAAAACTGAAGACAAGAAAGGGGAAGTGGCTAAGTCGAAAGCATGTTGCTAGATGTGGCAGTTCTGGGATTTGAACTCAGGTCTTTCTAGCTCTATCATGCCACATTGAGTCTAAACTACCTTAACCAAGCCATCCTTAGTTAATTTCACATCATTCCAATTACATCCCAGCTGTGCTGCAATGGCACTGCTTAGGGTTTATAACTCGGATCTATCAGGTACTACCTTGCATGTGTTTCCTGGCATGGTAAGTCTTTCCATTCTACATACATGACCTCCTAGAAAGTATAAGCAGTGTATGTTTTTGTTTTCTCTCACAATGCCAATTAAAGCAGCGAGCACAGAGCTCATTAACTGCTTACTAAAAGTTAACATTTTCTCCCTCACTGACAAAAGAATATTAATTTGAAAGAACACGGTAACAAAAACTGAAATGGGATTACTGCAGAATTGCTCTAGGCTTTCATGAGAAACAAATAATTACTGAGAATTTGGTTTTCAGAGCAGAAGTACTTTACAAGGGGACAGATCAATAATTTCCAAGAACGTAATTACAAATGACAGACATGTACATCCGCGCGTGCGCAGAGTTAAGCACGAGGGGAGACGGATACCTCGGAGTTGCGGAGGCCAGGCGCGCTCAGTGGCTTTCGTTCCTCCATTACTACTGCGGCAGAACTGAGGGCCCAGTCTTTTATCAGATCTTTATGTTTTTCATTGATAATAGGCCTATTATAATCCTGATTGTCATCTACTCCGAACACCTAGGAGGAGAAATCATTTTACAAGGGAAAAGTCAGATTAACATGTGAGTGTTATCGGTAATTTCAGTGGCAAATAAAAATATTCTAAATTGATTTCAATAAGGAGAGAAAACCTGTTTAATGACAAGGGACCCTCCAAATGGAGAGGAAAACAGGACAGTGGCAGCTCATGGAAATGTAACTGTCCTTTGTTAATAGTTGGCAAATGCACTGTTTGGTAATAAGAAATATTCAGGACATTATATTTCATTTGTTAAAAGATGTCAGTCATGTTAAACACTGAAATAATGCAGAGTAAAAAAGTGTACCACTTGAGCTTGTTTTCAGTTTGTCTTTGTTCTATTATTTTTGAGAAGCACGTTGGGAAACTATAAATGCATGAAGGATTTTATGTGTTCCTTCCCTAACGAATGTTTAACATTTACATATACGAGTTAAATTTATACGTATATATTAAGTTCACATATAACAGATTTCATTGTATGAACTTTATATTGGGTACAGGATAATTCTCAAACTATGTTCACCTGAAAATAACTCAAAGCCTTCATTTGAAGTGCAGGTTTCTGGTCTCACACAGGTTGGTACTTTGAATAAGCAGATGTGTATGGTGGACACTTTGGAAATATTCTAAATACAGAGACCAACAATCATGTGCGTTTAAGGGCAGGACCTGAGTCTTACTCATTTCCTGGTTCATAACACGCCCTGATTTTGCTATATAAAAGGCTGAAGAAAGGTTAACTACATAAACATGAACATTCCGTAGTCTCTACTTTGCTGTCAATGCTTATGAGTTACAGGTATTAGTTGTGACTCTAATTATTACAATCGAGAAAAATATTGTGTTTGAATTAGCACTTTGTAAAACGGAGTTTTAGAACATAACCAAAGAGACTTCATTTTGTATAAAAGGAGAAAATACCTGTGTTTAAGCTATTTTCTAGAAAAGTTTGTAATGATCATACTTCTATCTGATAAATTCTGAATTCCACATTTAGTAAGGCAAACAACAGACCTGGGAATTTTGCCACTAGATGGCCTTATTACTTAATATTTAATCGTCTCTTAAACCACTCAGGAATATACAAATTTAAGAGCAAATTGTATATAATTAAATTTAAAGCAAATAGGAATTTTGATGACACATAGAAGCACAATATAAAGAAGGGACAAGCCTGCTTCCTTTTGCTAAACATTAGACTGAGTAAGTTTAACAACTACAAGCAGTAAAAACACCAGGTATACTTTGCTATGGGCTCTGCCTTGAGCCCCACTTGAACAAAAGGCAAATTAGAGCTGCTCAAGTTATTAGTAACCATCTTAAAATTCAAAAGTTTTCTAACGCAAGTCATTAAACTCCACATTGACTGATTTATCTCCTTATTTTTATAATAACTACTAGGAAGAAAATCTAATTCAAGTTTGGCAGTAGAAGATAAAAATAACCGCATGTAATGACTACTTGCATGTTGTATCTCTTTGACATGTTAATTTACAAGTTACCTGCAGTGATTTTCTGATTTGCTGATACTTAATTCTAATCATACTTACAGGGACTTCCAAACCTTGACTTTCTCAAACATGAAAGCACCAGCAGTTTCTAATAAAATATAGTAAGTCTCTCTAAATCACTTCTGCCGTTATTTTGAAAGGATAACAAAAGGCATAAACACAAGTAGTAATGCTTTCGGAAGGGGAGCTGAAGTTGTATGGAGAGGGTACTCAGGAGATGTCCTACAGATTTCCTTTAAAGCATCAGAGATAACTATACATGTATCTGCCAGAGCAGTAACATTTGTTTATTTTCCAGACAAGTGATGGAGCCTAAAGTACCACTACATGGAGAAAGAAGCCTTCAGAATTCATTCCTGTATTTTTGATAGTGCTTTGAAAAATTAATGAGAGCAATGACTAGCTCAGCTTGAAATCTGTATCATCATTTTTGTGTTTAGGTACAAAAACATCCACTTGTGACAACTTTCATGTGAAAACAAAGAGGATATAAAAAACTTCTTATACTGTCTACATAGTCTGAAGGTATACTTTTCACATTTTAAAAAGTACATATAGTCTGCCATACGATCTAATAGTTAAACAGAACCTGCGAGTTGCTCAAAGCAGGGGCCAAGTTTGCCACATTTTCTCTTCTCTTTTCCTCCTAGAATTTGTACCCAGGTGATTTCACCCACACCCACGGGCTTCCTTTCAGTTTCCAGCTACAGACAACTGTTCACCTGCCTGTCACCTCTCCTCCTAGATGGCTCAGAGGTATTTCCAGTGCAGGGTTCACACAGAGCCATGACTCTCTCCTCTTCTCCGCTCTGACTGCTATCAAATCCCCGACTTGCTATGGGTTACAATGTCTGGGGTTTTCCTTCAGCTGGGGACTTATCTGTAGGCCACAGTATCTGTGGGTTCTATATCCATGAATTCGACCAACCAAAAATTGAATTTTTTTTTTCCTTGGTAAAAGGTTACATTGCTGACCTGTATTATATAGTCGGGCATATGGTAACTGTGTCTATGCTGGACAGGTATGGACATTTTTTTCTTGTCATTAAGCAATATAGTATAACAACTATACTACATAGTATTTACATTATATTCGGTACTATGAGTAATCTAGAAATAATTTAAAGTATATGGGAGGATGGGTATAGGTTATATGCAAATACTATGCAATTTATATAAGGGACTTGAGCATCCTTCGATTTGGTAACTGCAAAGGGTCCTGGAACCAGGCTGCGGATATCAAGAGATGACTGTTTATGACAGTCCTTGCTCTCAAGGAGCTTAGGTCTAATATAGAAGCTTGGAGAGAGAGAGAGAGAGAGAGAGAGAGGGAGAGAGAGAGAGAGTCACCTGACCCATACAGAGGTGCTCTGTCGTCAAAACAAAATTTCTATAAGAACCAGACTATATTTTTAGATTTTAAACTTAAAAAACCTAAATATTCTTCAGATGATAAAGAATGAGTATGTATAAAACAAACCAAGCCCATGAAACGTGTGACTCTGATTTTTTCACTGGCATATCATCAGCATAGTCATTATTATTTAAAAGCTCAGACTGTTCAGAAAATGCCCCCAGTTTCTAATTCTGAAACTGGAGGGTTGGAGAGGAGAGAACAGTGGTATATCCAACTGAAAAACACTGGGTCGACTTTCCCCAGGGGGCGTGGGGTAAGCTTCACACCTCCTGAATGCTTGTAAAGGGAGTTCAGACTACACTGGATAACATCAAATAGGGAGGCATGCTTACTGAGGCAAGCGGTAGAGATCAGTGTGCAGAGGGGTAGAGGGGGGAAGACTGGTCCCTAAATATGATCTCTACCACGTCAGACCCATAGCAGAGGCTCCCATGGCCTCTATAAATCAATCGACACATAATTACTTTAAAAACTATGCAAAATTCTAGCCACTAACAGCAGGAAACAAAATCAGGATGATTTAATAGGGAAGAATGTTTTTAAATTTGCAATCTCCCATGCAATTCTAACTTCATTTAAAATCCTTAAAAATTCAGTGGAATAAGTGGTTCTGAATGCTTTACACAGGATTTGTATAACGTGTATAATCAACTTTTCAGTTTAAAATTTAGACAAAATTGTTAGAAGAACAAAAGCTCAGAATGAAGGCAGGAGAGACATTTTATAATTTATCACGGTACACAAATGTTCATAGAAGAATGTTCCTCACAATAGTTAGAAGGTGGAAACAACACCAATGGTAATCAATGGACGAGTGAATAAATGAATCCACACAATGATCATTATTCAGTCATAAAACACATGCAGTACTTATACATGCTACATCATGGATAAAACCTTGAAAATATGTTGAGCGCAAGTAGCCAGTCACAAAAGGCCCCATATTGAATGAGTCTCTTTCTATGAAATGTCCAGAATAAGCAAACCCTTCGACGCGGAAAGTAGATCAGGCATTGCCAGGGGCTGAGGGAGAGAGACGTGGGAGGCGACTGCTGAACGGGTGTGAGGTTTCTTTTTGGGGGATTAAAAATGTCCTGGAATTAGATACTGCTGATGATTGCACACCTTTGTGAATGTATGAAAAGTCACTGAATTATAGACTTAAATGGCTAAAAGGGTGAATGTTATATGAATTTTACCTCCATTTTTTTTTTTTTTAAAAAAGGCACCATCTGCCTTTACTTTTCCTTTTTACCTGCATCCAAAGGTTTGCCCTCTCCCTGCGTCCTGAGCCCACCCGCTCCTTAGGCCGGTTACATCCAGTCTCTTCCGGTCCCATCGCTGTTCAGCGTTGCTTTTCTTTAGACCCTTCTTCCGTATCTTCCCATTATACTCAAGTCTACTCTAATGTTTCTGGAGTTAAAATGTCCAAATTCGCCCCTCCTCATGGCTCATCTCCCGTCACGTGGCCCTTTCACCCCTAAATCTGGCAACTCATCTATGACCGTCTTACCCTTCCCTCACCAAGAAGATTTTTAAGTGCTAAGTCATCCGTGAGGCATTGCTAGAAATTCACTGGTATCTCTACTCTTTCACTAACCAAAGCGGTTCTCCTGACACTCCCGCATTTCTTCCGACACAACCTATACTCCTTCACACCTCTCGTACTATCAGAAGCTAAGTTTATGCAAGGTTTTAAGCTATACATTTTAACAACTTGCTTTAGGATCAAGATAGGAACTGGTGTTGGCGCATAAAAATATAGGAGAACCTGTTTGTGGAGGTTTGGTTGGATTTGATCAATCTATAAATTCCTCAAAATAAATTCACTAATATAAAGCTAACCACAGGTATATATTGACAAAAATGAGAAAGCATATCCAATTCTTCTCCTCATTCAGTCATTCAAAAGATGCGGAGTGTCAAAAAAAGAAAAAAAGATACTGAGCATCTACTACATGCCAGGTACTGTTTGTTCTACATACAAAATAAAATAGAGCAGTGGTCAAGACAGGATATTTCTAGAAAGTGAAGACAAAATAAACTAGCTAGTGGTGAGTTCCAGAAA